GTTCAGTCTCTAACTCTACCACTGACTCATTACCTGGGACTCAAATCCCTTTTCTTTGTATCAATTTGTGCTGTAATTTATAGCCTCAAGTCTTATAAACATGGTTCAAAAATTTGGAGTTTGAAGGCATCTGAAAATCAATGCATTAATGTGGCTTCTAAAATTATAAATCACTACAGAAACCTGCTGTCATAAAAAAGATTGGGCAAGAAATGGTAGACCTGTTAGAATATTGCACAATGAATTCCCATTTCTAGTAAGTTTGACAACATATGCACTGTTGAATATTTCAGATATTAAAGGGATTCTTCCAGATGCTGAAGGTACTTGCAAGTCCTTAAACCAAACTGTTGCAGTCCCTTTCCACTCGAACCCTTCAATCTATACAGATAGCATCTGCTGCCAAGTGGCACTATGAAGTTTCAGTTCTCGTTATTTAAAATGTCTGAAGGTGGCAGAGAGGGATGATTCCCTGGATAGTCACCTCATGAAGACTGAATTGAACATCAAAAATTACTGTGATCCATGCATCGAGGTTTTATAAAATATAAAAAAAAAAAAATCGCTGATCTTCTTGGGTTTTTTTTTTTTTTTTTGGGGGGGGGGGGGCGGCGATCAGAACCCTTGACCTTGGTGTTATATACACCGCTCTAACCAACTGAGCCAACCAGCCCGCCCCTCCCTGATAATTCTAATTCAGTAAATCTCGGGCGGGTCCCGTATAAGCTCTTCATGTTCTTAATGGAGAAAAATATACGTATCCCTCAGCGGCAGATGCTGCTAGCCCTGCGGGCACCAGGCTTGGTACCATACAGAGTCATCAAGGCCAGCCGAGGCTACAGAAAAAAAGGGAGGGAGCCGGGGAAGAAAAACTGCAGCGGTGAACAAGGCCACAGTCACCTTCCAGCTCCAGCTCCCGGGGGCGAGGCGACTGCTCATTCAACCAACGCCTTAACCTCAGCACCAAAGGCCCACCACCGACTGTTAACGTGCTCGCCCCAGCGCCACCTACCGCCCGAAGCCCGGTGGCCGTGCCCTGAGGCCGGACTCAGATCAGAATCGCCTCGATAATCAGTGGCCCGGGACAAGCCCGGCCTCGTCTATCTGATCAATTCATCACTTCTGAGCGCCGGGCCCCGTAGGACCGGCTTCGGGACCTCGGGGACCGCGGCATTGCCGCCGCCCAAGGGGCCTCGCTGCACAGCGCCCCGAAAAGAGGGCTTCGCAGGAGGAGAGCTTTTCATTTCGGGTCGGCCCGGCGGGGCTGGGGTCACGACCCGATCAAATAAGATCAAGGTGTAGGCGGGGGAGGGGCGCAGGGGTGAACGCACGCACTCGCCTTGCACGACACTCCACGCGCGCACACTCACACGTCCACTCACACACACGGCCCGCACGCGTCTTCCACGCCAAGCCACACCACAGCACACGAGACACACGCTCTAGATCCCCCTCCCTCCCGTAAAGCAGCGGAAGTCCGAACCCTCTTTTAAACCCTCCGCCCTGCCAAGGAGGATTGTGGGAGGAACCACGCAGAGCAAAGGCTGGTGACTCCCGCATCCCCCTGTCCAGTGCACGCGTTGCTGCCCTCGCGTGGCCCGGAGGGGAACCCAGGTCCCTGGGAAAGGCGGAACTAATTCCCACAATACTGAACCGTGGTTGTCTTTCGCTCTCTGTATAGCTACATACTTATATCCATACGTACAGCTTTCGTTTTATCTTGAAGTTATTTTTATTCAGCTTAAATTTTAAAATATCCAGTTTCTGGATATGAGATGATTCCATTTCAGGAGACTTATAGGTGAATGACTTTTTTCCCCATGAGACTGCAATCCCTGGTCATTACCAACAAAAGTATCATCTCCTCCAAAAGCTCCGTCTCCCAAGGGAGAAGGCAAACATTTTATCAAAAGTAAAAGTGAGGAATAGAGTATTTACAAGGACTAGGTAGTCAGGATATCTGTGAAATGGGTAAAGATCGGAAGGCATATCCCCGTCCTCACAGAACACTCTGGCTGCCCAGAACTTGACGCTGTGGCAGTGCATTAGTCCGTTTCTATTGCTTATAACATAAATGCCTAAACTGGTAATCTGTAAAGAAACAATATTTATTGCTTACAGCTTCAGAGGCTGGGACGTCCAAAGTCCAGGGAACACATCTGGTGAGGGCCTTCTTTGGTGGTGACTTCAGCGATGCAGGGTATCACATTGTGAGATGGTGGAGCAAGAGAGACTCTCACGTGCTCTCCTTTTAAAGCCAAGAGAACCACGCCCATAACCTCCAATAAACCATCAATAGTTTAATCCATCTACTGGCATGGTCTTCACAATCTAATCACCTCTTTGAGACCCCACCTTTCAATTACTGTAATAGGATTTCCCACCATCAACACTGTCACAGTGGGGGTTAAGTTTCTAATACATGGACTTTGGGAGTCACATTTCAATCCACAGCAGGCAGTCACGTTGCTGAACTTTCATTTACGTTCATATCCATTAAAGCACATTGGACTTTCAAACTCCAGAATGAATAGAGTGAAAAATACTGGCGATTATATAAGTAGAATTAGCTCCTCTCACATTAGAGAGCACAATCTTAATTTCTCAGTTCTTTCTCCTTTTTCAATGAAATGGGGAGGGGAGGATAAAACAATTTTGGAGATCAAACAAATTATTTTCAGAAAATAATTTCTGAAGTTATAATTTGCACCGTGCCAGTCCCATCAGGCACTAGGAATAAACAAGGGGAAAATTACCCACTGTATATGCCAGAATCCCATTGGCTCAAGGATTTTCTAGGTGCCTGGCTGGTTAACCTGTTAACCTCATCTGTATGAAGAAGTTTATGGCTGGTAATAGCAGATGATACTTGTATTTTAATAGCGGTAGTAGGAAAAATGTACTGGAGGGTGCTACCTACCTTATTTAATATACCTTAAAACTTATCATTTATATTTATATATATAAACATGTATACATATATCACTCATATCTATCACTATTTATCAGCTCCCCCAAAGAAGAAAGCTAGGCCACCATAGATTGAGCTAAATTATACTTTCAGTGACCCTCATAAGGGGATAACAGGAATGATGGTATTCACTAATGTGAACTAAAAAGGTATGCTATGGGCAGAACCCAGGGGAGTACTTCAATAAATTCAGCATGTGACAAATAAAACGGACAAAAATTATATGGAAAGAAATTTTATTTTCAAGGATTTGCGCAGACAATGGTGAATACAAAATTGTACTTCAACTATAAAAAGGAACTGACTTCGTTCCACCTGGCATACAGGGTTTATGGTGATGTCAATTTGAATATGAGACAATATTGCTATCTCTATTCCTCCACACCTAAGAGACTCCCCCAGAGGAATAACTTCTTATAATTTTTAGTCAAAAATATGACATATCAACCAAAGTAACGAGTTAAACAAGGTTCTACTTATCTGCTTACATAAAGTCTATAAATGAAATAAGCTGTATATTTGTTTCTTGCTGTAAATCACCTTCACTTGTGCACTTTTTGGTACATTCTGGTATGAAAACATCAAAATATACCGACTCAAGAGTTTATGTCAAAATTACCCACCCAGGAGTCTGTGAAAATTGGTTTGAACTGGAACTGTGGAAAGGAACAAGTTTAAAATATGAAGCAGCTCTAAGCACCAAGCTTAGAGACATTAGCCCTATTAGAAAACATGAATCATTAAAGCTACAAAATAACAAGTGCAAAACACGCTGAACCTGTTTCCAGGGAGTGACATTCCCTTTAGCCATCAGGTTCCCAAATCACACCTACAAGGTGTAACTCTCTTTCCTGTTCAACTAAATTTCCTTTCTCTCATGCAAAAGATGATCCTCAGAAATGACAATGGGAAACATATCAATCACTGAAATTTACCCTGTGGACCAATTCCTGAAGAGATAACAGCCAAAACTCTGAGATGATTAGATATGTAGTGTTTAGTTGGTGATTTTCTATACTTCTAGAAACCCTCAAAACACTAAACTGTGTATTTCATAATCTAACCTTCAGCAACTTTTATTCTTTTGGACTAAGCAGACAAAAGACAATTTATTATGAAACAGGAGTCAACTACAGCTAACTTGTCCACAGGTAAATTTTACTGTTGTGGACAACTCAACTGGAAGACCTATTTCTATGCTTGTTTATTATAATAATCTAATTTCAGACCTATTCTTTTTTTAAAAAAAGAGAAGTTATAGGCTTCATAAATCTAACAGCTTATACTTTTGAAGATCATATGAGGAGAGAATGGAAAAATCTTCCCTTCAAATGTTGAGTCATCTAAACTGATTTGCTCAGGAGTTGCCGTACTCTATGGAAAAGCTCTTCAATCTCAATTGCAAAGCTCTGTTTTCCTTCACTTCAGAGAACACCCTCATTTTGTTTATGGATTCTATGAAACATACAAACATGCTGATGAGTATCAGCAGCTTATCTCATTTAAATTTCTCATGGTCTTATGATAAATAAAATTTCCAGAGATAACTAAATACTACTACTGCAATATGAAAAAAATTGAAGAGCTAGCCCAGAAAAAAAAAAAAAAAAATCAACTAAAAATTGCTGTAACCCAGATTTAACAAAGAATAAGTTTGTATCTTTTATAACATGACAAAACTTCCATCTAACATCACAATAAATTCTTATACCAGATGAATTTACTAGTATATGAATTAATACGCTAGATTTATTTCTTCTACCCTAACTGCAAATATATTAAACAATTATTTCTTCAATAGTTTCTTTTCCTCCTAGTGGTGGCATTTAAAACTGAGTAAGAGTATTTAGCACTAAGTAATTCAGAGAACATAAATAGTCTTTAGGAAATAGCAACAGTTGATTCATTTTTCATATACCATTTGGCTGAAGTCTCCTTTTGGGGATACCAGCGAAGAGAAAATTTTTTGTCTAAGCCACTGCTTTCTGTTCTCTTCACAGATAGATAAATCCCAAATTTTATGTAGGTCCATATTCTCTTGGCAAAACTCGACCTACCAGCATGCAGCGCAGCTACTTTATCTGTTCTCTTTTTGCATCTTCCCAGATGAGTATATGAAAAATAAATTTCTATAACCAAACAATTTCTTGGCGTTGCATAACTCCTGTTTGCCAACCAGCAGCCTGCCTCATTCTCAATCTGCCAAATCCAAAACAGTGAAAAAAAGTCAAGTCTTGAAAATTATTTCCTCTCCCAAGATGTCTGAACACAGCCTATTTCCTTCCTTCAGTTTGAAAAACATGAGCCTCAGTTTGAAAAACATCCTGATGAGGGGCTGAAGAACAAAATAGCTGATATTCTTAAGCAGGACATATGTGATCTTTTCAAGGGGTGTAATTTATCTGGAATACTTTATGCTCTCTGCTGAAGACTGATTTACATACAGACCAAAGGAAGTTGGCTTTCTGGAGTCCCCTGAAGGATAAATAATGTTTCTGATCATGAGTTTTCCCCACATATGGCAGGGTCAGATGCTGTGGTGTCATCCTGGGGACTCTGATGATTTTAGCTGAACTCTCCTATGCTGGGTCCAGGCCCCCGACAGGTTCTTCACCCCCATCCCCTTGATTGGCAGTTGATGAGTTGGATACTTTGGAATTCATTTTATAAACAGGACGTAAAAGGCCATTACAACACAGGCGATTGCCACAGCAGCATGCAGCCTGGTTCCAATCACAGCAGCTAGTAGGCAAAAGTAAAAGGAGAAAAGAAATCATACTCTGTCTTTCACAAAAGTCCTCAATTTAAAGATGAAATCCCTAGAAACAAATGAAGAGACCTATAAAGGGTCTCAAGTATCTGGGAATGTTTTTAAATGCCACTCTTATGCTCTAGGTGGCAAAATAAACTGTTTGTTTATATTTTGCCCTATTCTGAAAAAAAATCTAGGTAGGTATGATTCCAGATGAAGGTACCCAAAATAAAAAGTAAAAAGCATATGAGTTAATTAAATCAAAACTTAAAAGAGGCTCCAGTGTATTCTTTACAAAAAGTCAGAAAAAATTTCCAGTGGGAAAATATTCCTCCCACTGAAGGGAGGAATTCCAAACCCAGCCTAAAATTGTTTAATTTGTATACTTTTATTCTATGGAGAACACAAAAATTACTTGGATTCTAAAATAAACAATTATGTTTTAAAAGACAGCAAATTTTAACATTTACCTCTTCTCTCAACTTTGGAAAATGAGTATATAATTTTACAAATTCTCAGACCTGATCTCAGGGATTTTTTTCTATAAGTGAAACCAAATACAATCCCAGCCCATTCCACCACCCACTTTGTAGCACAACACTGTCCAGAGACGACATCTCTTCTCCCTGTCCGGACATGACCTTACCTTTGTAAAACACACCCCAAACTCCCTTCTTCTCTGATAGCAGCCAGGTTTTGAGACGAGGTACTTTCTTGAAGTAGGCACATGTGCAAACAAAGAGCAAACCAAACACCAGAATCCCATCCAAGGAGTACACTGTTACATAAAGGAGAAATGAAAACCTTTGATGCTGATCTAGCTTGGGATAGGTGACCCCTCCTGAGAACTCTGAGGACAGAGTGTGATATAATAACAAGATGATAATCTCAACTGGCAGTGCCAACACTTGATAGGAGGGAGCCAAGGTCCTGGAACTAAAAAGGTTATTGTTCCCACGATTGCCTGTAGACAGCCCTTTACAGCAATTTCACTGCCCCCTCCCCTCACCTTTCAAGAACCAGATATCCTGGCAGAGTGCATCAGTTTATGTGGAATAAGCCTCCCAGGAATGACCAGTGTTGGCAATAGGTTGAGAGAAGCATAAGAATCCTAGGAGCTTGAGCTCAGAGAACTAAATGTTTTCCTGTTATAAATCACTCATTTGATAAAGGAAAGCTAGGTATTTAGCCAAGTCTGTCAGATCTGCATCTGTTGGTAAAGAATATGTTAAGGCAAAAAGTAAAGCTTAATGGAAATTGCAAGAGTTGGAATCCATACAACTACACTTTTCTTATACCTTACAGTTCACGCATGATACTCTACTTACAAACCAAATTTCTGCCAGAATAACAACAGATTCTTGTTAAAAAAAAAAAAAAAAGTATCTGAGGCTTCAACACAGTGAAAAGCTTCAAACTGTTGGTTCAATTTCTTACATATGTAAACCAAGCTATTTCTTGTACAGGTAAGCAAAACAAATCACCTACATGCAAAAAAGAGATAAGAGAGCCCGTGGCGCACTCGGGAGAGTGCAGCGCTGGGAGCGCAGCAGTGCTCCCGCCGCGGGTTCAGATCCTATATAGGGATGACCGGTGCACTTACAGTGCTCACTGGCTGAGCGCGGTGCGGCCGGTCTCAAAAAGGACAAAAAAAAAAAAAAAAATCCTTTATGGGCCTGCCCGGTGGCGCACTGCTACAGTGCGCTGCTTGGGAAGCGTGGCGGCGCTCCCGCCGAGGGTTCGGATCCCCCATACAGACCAGCCG